GGGGGTTTTGAGTGAGGTTGAGGGGAGGATGGATGCTGAACAGTATGTGGCCATTTTGGAGGGAGGATTGCTGCAGAGCATGGAGGATTCTGGAATTCCTGCAGATGAAGTCATCTTCCACCAGGATGATGATCCCAAGCATACCTCCAGAAGAGCCCAGATCTGCTTTGAGGAGCAAGATATCAAGCTTCTGGATTGGCCTACTCAGTCTCCAGACCTTAACCCCATTGAACACACTTGAGGTCATCTCAAAAGTTACCTCTCAGATTATGATAGGGGTCCAACAGGGGTTTATCAATTATGGGATAGGGTGGTGGTAGAGTGGGGGAAGATTTCTGTGGAGGAGTGTCAGAAATGGATAGAAAGTATTCCTAGAAGGATTCAAGCAGTTATCAAGGCCAAGGGAGGTCATACCAAGTACTAAATACCCTATTTTATACGAAGTCAAACAATTGTCCCAATGAGTTGTCATTTTGACATGACTACCATTTCATCAAATGCTTACCAAATCATTTGACCCTTACACCAATAGAAAGCCAAGAGTGAGTAATTTATTTTATACACTCATATGTTATGGCCTAGGGTAAGGGGTATTTGTGGGTATTGACTTTAGTGAAAAACATGCAAACATTGGGATGGTTGTTTGAGCCACTGTATATACAGTCAGAAACATCAGGCCAATGTCATATTTGCTCAAACTGGCCCATATAAGTCATATCAATGTATTTAAATTGTATATGGCCCACCAAGGCCTTTCCTGCCATTGGCTTGCTATGTATGTCAGAGTCACCATATGTACAGTCAGAAACACCTGGCCAATGTCATATTTCCCAAAACTGGCCCCTATAAGCCATACCAATGTATTTAGACTGTATCTGACCCACCAAGGCCTTTCCTGCCACCAGAGACTTCATTGCTCTGCCCCATCAGTGCTGTTAGCTCGCTATGTGTGTCAGAGTCACTATGTGTCCAGTTAGAAACACCAGGCCAATGTCATATTTCCCCATAGCTGCCATATCAATGTATTTACATTGTATCTGGCCTGCTGAGGCCTTGCCTGCCACTGCTCCTTCATCTGCCTCCCCAATCACTCACCATGGCTGTTGCTGACCATGGCTGTTGCTGACCATGGCCATCCCTGGTGATTGTTGTTGCTGACTATAGCCTATTACTGTTGATGGCCATCGCTGACCACAGCCTTTGCTGACTGCAGCTGTTGCTGATGATGGCCACCACATTATGGCTGTTTCTGACCATGGCCTGTTGCTGAATATGACCTGTTGCTGGTGATGGCTGTTGCAAACTATGGCCCATCACTGGTGAAAGACTCTGATGTACACTAAATCACTGCCAATGCTACCTAAGGCTTATAGGGGGTCTACATATGCTATGCAGAGCATCATGGATTGCCTGCTGATAGCACAGGCAAGGCATGATAGCACAGGTGGGCCTGGAATAGATGTCATAGGAGGACTGAGCAACATTCTAACATGTCTATACCCATTTCACTGAATTTAGAGGAGAAGGGATATTGTTCAGGGTATATATAGATTCTGTGGCATGCATGGCAACCCGCCAACCACTATGGACCCACTAAAACACACCCATGCAGCTGAAATAGTGGCAGAATAGCAGAGACACTCCTGTGATGTGAATAACATTTTGCACACACATTTCACTGAATTTAGAGTGGAAGTGATGTTTTTCAGGGTGTATATGAATTATGTGGCATGAATTACAATCCATTGAGGCCTATAGGTCTGCCAATACATAGCAGCACATCCAAAAAAACCCTTGGTATGATATACACACTCAGTGCCCATTTCATTAAAAACCACATTGAACCAATGTTTCTAACTATATATCTGGTGGTGCTCACATGCATCTTTTCTACACCTCTTTGGTTCAATCCAGCTGATTACTATACCACAGATGGTTGGCCCCCATTTAAAAGTAGTAGTATAGTCTAAGTACCCAGAACATAGAATCTCACTTTTTGATATGTTTTGTGTCATAGAATGACTCTGCAATGACTACTGTGTAGATGAAAAATTTTCCCAGTCACCTGTGGCTGTGATGATGTAATCAAAAAAAGCGGAACCACCACTACCATTTTGGGTGCATACACATAAATTTTGTATAACAAAAAACACATCAAAATCATGCAATTACACACTACACATTGTTGAGGAAGATCCTATTGTGATCCTAAAAGTATTTTTTAAACAGACATGTTATATTTTATGTTTTCATAGCTGTATCTGGAGGCTGAAAATGGCAACCATGCGAAAATTTGTCAAAGTCATCTGTTAAGGGTACATATTAACTGACTAAACTATAGCCAAGTCTCCACCCTGATATGAGATTTATTCAATCATATAATTTCGCATTTCTGACTCTCTAAATAATTAAATAAAGTTATAAGAATATCATAACCTCATTGACAAAATACAGTGAACTCCGGAACTGGAGCACCAACTCTGCACTTCCAGAATGTCAGAGTTCATACCTCTGCTCTGCCGCCAGGTGGATCTGCTCAGACTTTCAGCATTCGCTCAGAACTCATATGGAACTCACACGGACCTTTATCACACTTCATGATCCTTTTCTTGTCATCGCTCCGGAGCCTCCAGGGATGCTCCATCACTTTCTTACATTGCTTATTTCCCTTTCCCCCTTGTTCCTGTTCCTATTCCCTTTATTATCATTAGCGAGCGCTTCTCCACCCACTCCGCTACATATATATACTTAGTTTTCACTTTGGATTCCTCAGTCGTTCTTTACCCCTCTTTGGCAGCAGCTGAGGTGAGTTTACTTTATACCTATCTATAACTCCTAGCTAATCCCTAGTAGTCTGGGCAATCACTGCCCTATTATAGTTTTTGTCACTCATGAAGGTTCTATGTTAATGTGTTGTAGCTAATTGTATGTTTTTATGTTTGCCCCAGTCTCTCAAGACAGTACTGTTTTATTCAAGTTAATATAGACTATGCTCTCACTCATGTCCTACAGCATGACCCAAGTGCAACAAGTGCTGTCCTTCTATGACATCAACTGCCAATACATGAAGAACCTGCACAAGCAACTGACCAGCAATATGTTCATCATGATTCCCCCAGAATTGCCCATCATGCCAAGCATTGGCATCTGGGACATGCATGGCCATCAAGCTGAATGCCATGCCAGATGTGTCCCAAGTTTCATTCCTGGCACAGGCTGCATCAATGGTGAGATCATAGAGACACTCTGGTCCATTCTCAATGTGATATTGCCCTCAGCATGAGGCATGTCCTTCCCCCACAGACAAGAGTTGTTGGATTATCAGATGAATGACTCAAACTTCCAGGCAATGATCAGTATGGGTATGCCTGGGCATCCCCTTTGCATTTATGTCTCCTGGGCTGACCCCACTGACAGCCAGGGCATTGAAAAGGAAGCTCAGAGTGGCCATGGCAGGGGTGGATGATGCTCTGGCCAAGCTTGAACTTATAAGGTCTGAAGCATGTTTGATTGGAAACGTCTTTGATTTCAAGGCATGCTTCTGGGTGAACAAGGAGTATAGCACCATCACCAGTGGCAGGAAATGCCTTGGTGGGTCAGATACAGTCTAAATACATTGATATGGCTTATATAGGCTGGCTTGAGTAAATATGACATTGGCTTGGTGTATCTTGACAAAATTTGCCAGAAAAGCAGACTAGGCAGGGATTGAACCTGTGGTCTCCAGTCTAGTACAGTGGCACTCTTCCAACTGAGCTACCAGTCTGTTGCAACTAGACCCTAGCTCAAGCATCAGTAGGCATTAGATGGTAAGCACCATGCTTGCTACCATTTGACATTTCTCATTGTACATATGGTAACTCCAACATACATAATGAGCTGATGGAGCCAATGGAGCAGGTCAATGAAGGTGCTGATGGCAGGAAAGGCCTTGGCAGGCCAGATACAGTCTAAATACATTGATATGACTTATATGGGCCCGCTTGGGGAAATATGACATTGGCCTGGTGTTTCTGACTGTACATATGGTGACTCTGGCATACATAGTGAGCCAACAGAGCTGATGGGGGGGCCAATGTCAGTGATGGGGCATGATAAGTGATGGGGCATGATCAGTGATGGCCATAATGCAATGGCCATCCTCAGCAACAGATACTACCAGCAACAGCCAACCAGGGACAGCCATGGTCAGTGATGGTGTATGATAAGCGATGGCTATAATGTGATGGCCATGGTGCTGGTGAGATTCTAAGAGCTCACAGCAATAACACCAACAAGTTCAATGAGGATAGTCAAACTAGATCTAGTATCAAGAAGTCTTTACTGGCAGACTATAGGCCAATGGAGTGAAGTGTAGCTCAGAGGATCAAGGGATTGCTGGTTAAGCAATGTATTGCATAGATATAGCTTGGGTTGTATCCAAGCAAAGTACAGGGTTTATATACTATTGAGAAATGCACACAGACCAAGAGAGAGATAAACACTATTGGTAGGAAAGAGAAGGAAGATCATAGAAGGAACACAGCCATAGGACTTTAACTCAAGAGACTGGTTGAACAATCAACAAGAAAGGAAATAGATAAAGGTGATGGTATAATTGGTCAGGTGATCAAGAAAAAGATAGGGGGTGTCCAAGATATCATAACAATCATCAGCAATAGCTATCATCAGTGATGGCCCCCATCAGTGACAGCTATCATCAGCAATGCCTATCATTGACAACAGATACCCCCCAGTGATGGCCAGAGTCAGTGATCCCCCATGGGAGGTTGTTAACCTCTACTATTTATGGCACCAGATTTGGCCACATTCCAGGTGTTCCTGTGTGCACTTATTTCAATTGTTAGTATGTTGCATTTTCATGATTGTGATCTTCAATGATTCCTGTGCTTCATCACTCTAGGCTGGCTTGCTCAAATGCTGCTGTGGACAGGACACTTATTTCTGGTATTTCTGGTAGTGCTGCATGTAGTGATAATTCCTTCCAATTCAGGTATCAGCAATCTCAACTGATGGACAATCATTGTAAGACTGAATGGAGCATAGGGGTCACAGTCAATGAGGAAAAATAAATGACAGTAAACCTTGTTCACAGTGGCATCAACATTACCCCTGATGGGGCACTACCATTGAAGGGCCATCACCCCTGACAGGCAATCACTGGCACCCACCACTGAGGGGCCATTAGCCTCCCATCACCTGCAAGCCCTCCTTCACTGGGCCAGCTCATCACTTCCTTGTTGCCTTCTGTCAACCACCTCTCCTCCACTGGGCTGCCCCATACCCCACAGCTCCCATTCCTTGGCCCACCAATCACCCCTTGGCCTTTTCCCATGGGACATTCTGTCACCTACAAGCCCTCCTCCACTGGGCTGCCCCATATTCCATGACTCCCATTCTTTGGCCCACCCATCACCCCTTGGCCATTGTCCATCAGCCACACTGTCACCTATGAGCCCTCATCCACTGGGCCACCCCATATTCCACAGTTCCCATTCCTCAACCCACCCATTGCCCCTTGGCCACCCCATACACTATGGCCAACTCCATCCCTGGGCTCACCCATGGGAAATGGGTAACACTGTCCCTTAGCCCACCTGATAGCCACAGTTAGTGATGTATTGGGCCTGGCTTGAGAGGGCCCAGGCCTGCTCCAACCTTGGGCCAGGCCCACACAGTGGGCTTGGTAGTAGGAAATGCAGCAAATTCCACATTTTTATGATAGACCACATTGAAAGTAGTGTTTGTATACTAATCCTGTACATCTGAGTCATTTAAAAAATCCAAAATCCAGCTCAAGTCCTCTGCAGCTGAGGATTCTGCAGTAACAGGATTATCTTCCTTCTCCATTTCAAGTTCCAGAGCAGAAAATGGAGGAGGTTCATGAAACATGAGATCCCAGTTATAAAGCATGCAAAGAACTTGGATGGCCTTAACAATATCACCTTTCAAGCAGTTGTGCTGCTTGATGATGGTTAATGCAGCTGCAGAAAATGCATGCTCACTTGAAACTAATGTGGCCATGATGGAGAGGTAACTTCTGGAAAGGGATGCTCACACAGGATACTGTTGGGCATTGATCCAAGATTACATATGTTAGTAGTCCTCTGAAACTGAATGGACACAATACTTACCCCCCCACTGAATAATAGTTAATCCATCAGGAAGAGAGGTAGCAGAGTAAAGATAGAGGTTGAACTCCTTCAACCATGGAGATTGTGGATCTACATCCTGATCCCCCTCCTCCAATAAATCATCCTCATTGCTGGAAAGCTCCCATAGAAGTTGTGGAAGCTTTCCCTTCCTCCTTCTGGGTGATGCTGGGCCACCATCTTCACCATATAACTTAATGAAGTGCTCCTTGAATTGTGTACAGTTGTATATATTCATGCCAAGGCTTACAAGTTCCTCTGCATTTTTTAGAATCTTAGCATGCAAATCTTTTCCCCAATACTTTTGAAGTATAAGTCCTTCTGAGAAGGATCCAACACTATGGTAGTCAAATTAGAGTGATACCATGTCACCACAGAAACTTACAGATAATCAAGGTGTATGCATCTGAATCAGCAGAGTTGAGATGACAATTTTGCCATGTGATGTGGTTGAAGGGGCTGTACAGGCACTTTGTCATTGCTCAACATGCTGGCAGTGTGATAAGATCAAAAGTGCAGGCAATGATATGGAAGCTCACACTGAGTCATGCATGTGATAGTCACAGTGGAATATTATTTCTGAACATCATAGTCCTTGAGTGATGGCAGTCACCTGTATAGTTCCATGGAAATAGCCAACAAGCCAGGGCCTCAGGGCCCAGGGCAGGCTAAGTACATCACTAGCCATGGTGCCACCACCACCTTGGCCCACAGTTAGGCAGCTGTGACCTACAGCTGATTGTCACTGTCAGGTCCCCATGTACTATGGCCTAGGTGACTGGATGGGCTCCAACTCCTAGATATACTGGACAATGCAATGAGCACTTCATGCACAGCTGCAACAACAACCATGCATGCACACCTTAAGTATCTCTTGTCCTTGTTTTGCTAAGAACTGACTACTCACCCCCTCCCTGCTCATTTTTGGCTGCACCTGTTACGATATATTGAATAACCCCTATCTTTTTCTTTTCTCTTGATCACCTGACTCTTCATTCCCATCACATGACCATTTCTTTATCTATTTC